TGCTCTGGACGTTCATCAGGTGGGTGCGGGAAATCCTCTCTGGCCAGGCTGATGAGAGGGAGACCAAGTTCGTCCCGGAAGCGTGTGACGTCGCCATACCGAGGCCCCCATTCAGACCTGTCAAGCTGTTTGACTGTGATTATGTTGTCAGCAGTGTTGTACAAGTCTAACATGGAGAACGTCCTTACCAAAATCTAGCTTATCATCCTGTAGGATTGAAATTTGTACCTCTTCTGCAATGATGCGACGTCTGATCATCGCCAGCTGGTTGTCGGGGTCATTCGGTCGAAGGATAAAAGGTGCCGGATTCCAATCATTGACGAACTTCCTCGGGATCAAGGGCTGGAGCAGGATGGAATGTTTTTCGGGATCATACTCGATGTTGGGACAGCCTTCGTACAGTTTCCGAACCTTGGACTTGAACGTCGCCATCGCATGGGAATCTACGTTGAAGTCTTGATGCCCATTATTCCATTCCTGGCTGGCCATTCTGCAGGTGACATCACCGTCGACCGGCTGGATGACAAACAGCCGACAAGGCTCACGCTCGTCGCTCACTGAGTCTGTGATGAACCTCGAGAGGTTCTGCTGGTCCTGTTGCCTGGCTGTCTGGTCTAAGTGATGCCATTCTGCCGGTCTGCGCTCGGCCCGGGTGGGATAGATTATGTGACTGAAAAAATCTGTCCCGCGCCAGATACGATACTTTGAAGCTTTCACAGGCATGTGAGACACTCGCATCAAGTTCTCCATTGTCCTGAGCGCGTCTTCGTATGGGTCCTTGGCCCCAGCTTTGTGGGAGCACTTGCGTAATTCCCGCGTAGAGGCGTTGAGCCGGCTTCCAGGTAGATAGAAGACGACAGAGTCCTCGGGTAAGGCCTCGGATGTGATGTTCGTTGGCGTCCTCCTGATGACATGAGGGTGCATCGCCAACCAGAAATAATAGTCAATCTCAAGACCACCATACCAGTGATTTTGGTACGACTTTTGAAAGTCATGTTCGCCGGACAGGACGATATCGCAGTGGCTTCCACCAGGTATCTGTGGGCGTCCGATCAAGACCTCCTGGGCGGTGGTCAGGAAAGGCATATACTGGTTAGCACCCCACGGGAAGGTCGACGGAAGGGCATGGCTCTGCGACTCTGCCCCAAAGAATACTCCGCGTCGAGGCACAGTGTAGTACGCGAAGTCCGAACCGCCAAAGTCGTTCGTGCGGCTCAATCTGACCATATGGTTTGTGTAGTCGCGGTCGGTTGGCGCCCAGTGTGTTGGTGTCGTTTCCCCCTGGCGGCGTACGAACCACACACAATCCTGGTTCGTCTTGGACTGCTCGTTGACATAATTCACCAAGTCGCCGGTGGAGGGAAGTGGTATCTTGGTATTGAAAGAACGCACGACGCTCTTGTCTTTCCGATTCATATGGTCAAGTACCATGTCGCTTTGGTCGCGCTGCTTCAGCGAAAGAAGCTTTCTGCTGGCCTGCTCAAGGGTGGAGAGGTTGGCGGCGTCGAACGTGACACGACCTTGAAAACCAAACAACTCGGCCAAGTTCTTGGCAGGAGAACAAGGGGTTGGGTCGCCATACCCGCTGTATGCAGAAGCTGATTCCTGGTTGTTGCTAGCATTGGGCATACTAGGAGGCGCGAACCCTGGTGTTCTCGACGCTTTCCCGCGGCCTGTACCTGCAACGGAAGATGACTTGAAGTGTTGCGTAGCAGGAGTACGTCCTTGCGAACCACCAGTGGCGGGGACGATGCTAGAAGAACCCGGTAACCCCTGAGAGGAATTGGCTCTAACCGGCTGGTTGTTTAGACCTGTTCCAATTGCAAAAGAAGCCGGATTGCTAACAGGATTGGAGGTTGGGGGAACCTGGTGAGAGCTACTGCCAACAGCGGGAAGCCGGGTGCTACCAAGTCCCGTCCCAATGGCTGAAGTCGACGTGCCTGGGCCAAATGTAGGATTGTTCGATGAACCGCGGGGAACACTGGTCGGTCTGGTCGTCGCTGGTGTCGAGGCTAAACTACCCGGGGCGCGCGCGGGCAGAATCGTCGACGCAGCCGTTTGATAACGACCTCCGGGGACACCGGCAGGAGTCGGGACTTCCAGTCTGCTTGGAGTTGCAGCAGAACTGACGCGAGGTTTGCCGGACGAGATCGTAGGGGTGGCTTTTGGAGGAGGCCTTTGTCTGGGCTGGTACCCTGAAGACTCGACGTAGGGGGTTTCTGGGATCGGCGGAATAGAGGTTCGAGGGTGATGCTGCAGGTCTGGTAGTTCGTCATTTCGAATGATGTGCTTTGTAGATGAGATCGACGGGGTGGATTGTGGAAGAACTTGAGCAGGAGGGGTTCGCCTCCCCAGGTAACCCGAAGACTCGACGTAGGGGGTTTCTGGGATCGGCGGGACGGAGGCTCGAGGGTGATGATACAAGTCTGGCATTTCTTCGTCGTCGTCATCTTCATCATCATTACCTCCTCCACGAAGGTTCAGGCCTTGAGACTCCGAGTCATCCTGCGCGACCCCAGTGACGCCAGAATGGCCGCGAAATCGAGCAGCCGGCACAGGAATGGTGCTGTACGGCGCCTCCGTTCCTGTGAGAATGTGTCAGAAACCTGCAGAATCTTGGGGTATAGTCCCGAACCTCTCAAGTGATCATAGCCAAAGTTCCTCCGGTCATGCGCTGTGAGGAAGTGAAGTGGAGGCGAAACCTCGGCCTCGTGCAGTTGTTCCCAGTCGTCAATTTCGAAAGAGGGCTTGCTGAGCTGGGCAAATTGAGACAAAGCAGGCTCGACGGGTAGACCAAAGTACAACATGGCGAACTTGGTGGCCAAAGAGGGGAAATGGCCCTTGAAACGTCCCGCAAGCAGGGCGCGATATCGCCTGGTGCTGTCCTCCTGGCATTCTCTCAAACTGCGAGGTTCCACGACAGGAAGAAATAGCTTCCTCTCGTGAGGCGTAAAGTGATCATCCAAGACCTGCTTAATGGTGAGAGTCGGTCGATCGAGCATGCGTCTGAAAGTGTACTCGACCTCCTTCCAAGCGGCGTCAGTCGGCTTGATGAGAGGATTGTATCGTTTGGTTGGGTCAGGCACTAGTTTGTTTAGGTCCGACATGGTGAGAGAAGTACGAGATGAACAAAAGAGAAGGTAGCCCGGGAAACAAGGTTGACAAGCAAGAGAAGGTGGGAAAGAGAGTGAAAACAGAAAGTGAAAACAGAAGAGATGTGTGTTGGCAGAACAAGCGCTGATGAGGGTTGACGAGAAAGATGGAAGCATATGAATGAAATTACCACAAAGAGATATGCCCAAGTCGACTTGAAGCAATCAAGGGAGACAGATTGCATTGGAAGAAGCTTCGGACATCCAAAGATGTCCATGCATCGACTTTTCTTTGATCCTTTACGCATTGTTGTTGAAATCTTGGTGTTACCACCGCGTTCAAAGGGAGGGGAAACGATCATTTCAAGATGTTTCGAGACGAGTGGTAGCGAAAACACTCGACTCAGTGATTCTCATGACTGGTCATTCGCTGGTAAAACCACGGCCGAGTTGGCAGATGTCGAGCTTCCCGCAACGATGGATGTCGCGTTATCAAAAGCTCTACAAACGATATCCGTAGACGTCGAAGGGTTTGGGTCCTATGATGAAATACCGGAACTAGCAGCCGTTGACACGGCAGCCACAGAAAACGGCACCGAGAAGTCTATAATGGCTCTCAAAAAGAAGACCCGTTTCCGGTTCCATTTCATTTCAAAATAATTCTATTGTCCCATGACATTCAAGATTCGACGACGCGAAGAAGCATGGGCTTTCTTGGCTGTGTCTCAACCCTCTCGGTGGGTTGAACAAAGCCGGGCCGGTCGGGCGGCATTGTTTCTAGCGACCGGAAACGGACGCGAACAATCTGCTAATTGAATCCCCAGACACAGGACGTATTATGAAGAATTTATGGTGGGAGAAGGATCGAGACTCCGGGATGCTGTTGGAAACGGATCAGCCTCCTCAAGCAAGAGCGAGAACAGGAATGTTGATCCTGAATGAAAGCCGGACATGAAGATGGGAGAAGACAGTGTTAGCCAGGGTGCATTTCGTACTTCACACGTGGCGCTTCCCCTTTCCCTAAAAAGTTGCCAGAGGAATACGGACCCTTCGTGCGTCTCAACAGACATCCATTCATCAGCTGACTGTTCGGGCCACTCTTTGCCGACTCGTTCTCTTACTGCCTCCCTCTTGATGGCGTCGACATTGAATGCGCGACCAGTAGCTAGCCATTTCATGTTAGAGTATGGGGTAACTTTTCCGAGCGGTATGTCTTTTCAACTGTTCAACTACCTATTGAACGACTCGGAAAACTTGCCCCAACAACCACAACACATCAAGGTAGGTAATTGTTAGCGTAGTCGGCTGGCTGTCCACATCTCCGCATCACCTCGGGCGGGCGACTCCAGGCCGAACCTTATGGGGACCCCACGTTTCTGTCACAGCCCACTCGTCAATGATCAGATTTCATTGACAGCTGTTCGGTCTACAACTGGCTTGTTGTAGCAGAAGTTTCCAGAGGTCATGCGTTGCTGCGCTTACGTTTTCCTCGAGAGGAGACGCGCCCAGAGCCCCGAACCGGCGGGCGTCGAGAACCTTTTATGTTCGTGAATACATGTCCGACTGGCTCCTCTCAGTTCTCAGGGTCGTACTTCTTAACATTCCCCTCTGGCAACAGCGGAGAGAAGTGCGGGGTTCGCCATCCAACCAACAAAGCAGCCATCGTCGCTCACGTTCTGACCTCCGGTCGACGCAGAGCTGGTATCCATCCTTGCTGCCGGTGGGAGACTATTTCTGCCGTACGCCCTGCTGCTTGCCGTCTTGTCAACAAGTTGCAATCTACCTAGACACTCGAATTTAGTTCAAGACCCTCTCTTCAGCTCTTGCATTGTATCGCCTTGCGTGAAGCCCAAACCCATTTCTTCTGTCTCCTGTCTGATCTCTGCCCTGTCCATACATACCTCTATGATGGCTTCTGAGTCCCTGTTGAGTAGCTTGAGGTCGGCAAGCCAGGTCGACTGCGACACTCTTGATGTGGAAGGTAACGATCATGCACGAATCCTCGTCTTCTCACGCATCACAGTAATGACCTCTCTGCAGTTGCCAAAGAGCTAGGCCCTTTCGTGGACTGCACCTCCAACCAGGCCATCGCGTTCAATGAGCTGACCAAGCTCACCCCTGACGGTAAACTCTACCACGAGCAGCTCATTCGAGATGCTGCCAAAGACGCACAGAGCTGGGCGAAAGAAACCTGGTCAGACGTTGACCCGGTTCTTCTCGCCGTTGAGATCATGGTATTTAACCAGGAGCCAGACGAGGACAGCCATCAGGTTCACTAACACGCTCAGATGGTCAGACTGTCGCTGCAGTTTGCCCCCTATTTGACGGGCTACTTCCATGTTCAGACCAACACACACTTCTCTTACTCAGTTGAGAAGACTCGCTATAATGCCGAGAGTACGTCTTTTCCTCAGTGGTGGCTGATGGGCCTAAATCTGACACAGCATGCAGGAATTGTCGAAATGTTCAAGAAGATCGACCCCAGCTTTGATGTCAAGCGGGTATGCATCAAGATTCCCTCTTCCTGGGAAGGCATTGCCGCATGCAAGATCCTCGAGCAAAAAGGCATCGCCACCCTGGCAACAACCATGTTCTGTATGGAACAAGCTGCGCTTGCCGCTGATGCCGGCTGCACATACATCGCTCCCTACGTCAATGAGCTCAAAGTGCACTTTGTCCCCGGGTGAGTCTTCCCCATTGTCTCGTGCTCATTCCATATAAACAGAGTTATTGACTTGATTTTCAGGTATGTTGACGAGAACAAGGCCTTCGACTTCTGCAGAACCGCCCAGGCATACTATATCGAGAAGAAGGCGAAGACGCAAGTGCTTGCCGCCAGTCTGACTTCAGTAGCTGAAGTCATGCAGCTCGCGGGCATCCAGCACGTGACTGTATCACCGCCCTTGCTCCGGGGTTTGGCGGCTCAGTCGGCTTCGACGTCGACCGAGAAGGTCGGCGGCTACTTTGCTGCAGGCCCGGACAAGAAGTGGACTACCGACTTCGAGGTGGCCTTGAAGGACGAGAGCGCGTGGCGCCTTGCCTTCACGCGCAGTGGAAATGGAAAGTACGAGGAGAAACTTATACAGGCGATCAACATCTTCTCGGACAAGCAAGATGAGCTCGAGGAGCTCGCCCGTCGATACTTGTAAGTTCCAGGATCAATGATGAACTGGACTCGGGCTGCATCCGACTAGCTATGCAGGAGCTAGCTAGACGTACTCTCAACCCAATTGATACATGTCTCACTTCCCCAGCATCAGCATATTTGCGCCGACTCTTGGATGCAACTGTAACAGCGAGTTTGACTGGGAAGACTTGAGATTAGCTCATACGCCAGTATTTTACCTCAAGTAAGCTTCATGTTGGACAATGGTTTGTGCGACGCGGTCTTGTCAGGCGAAAGACGCCACGACCTTCCAGCATTCGCACAAGCGGGAGAGGGACACACGACTTGTGATAAGAAGTCGCTTGCGATTGGCTTGCATCGCCACTCGGGTGCGTCAACCCCTGCCCTTCCAGAGATACCCCGATAACCCTCACCCTGTTATCAGTGAATCCTTAGACCTGGGCTTCATATCTTACCCCAACCACTCGGTAAGATAATCGACTCTCCCCCATTGCCGAGCTGAAAGCTGTCGATTGTGTGACCATGCTGCCATCGACAGCAGGCGGACCTGGCCGGCCCCAAGCCTGCATAGGTAGGTCTGTCGGGAGGAATTGGTTCGCTGCGGAAGGGTTACATCGTACCGAGCTGCTTGCGGACTACATAGAGTCGGCCATGTCTCACTTTCCAGCAAAAAAGTCGTTGCCACGCCACTGTTAAGAAGGGCCGCTAGGAGGTAGTTAAGATAAGATTAATTGCTTCTCGGCTCCGGATCTGTTTCTCTCTCGGACATACTCTCTTCGACGTTTCGCCCGGACCTTGCCTTTCGTGTTTTACCTCATGATTGTGTGCCGCTGCATCTGAATTGGATGAGGTGCATACGACTAAAAGCTCGGCACACCATCATATTTCGACCAAAAAACCGACGGCCACGATGCGGGGTTACGGAAAAGATGAAGTGAAGCGGCGATGTACTTCGCTATGGGCATGGGAGCTTCCCAAGCACCCTAGCACCATTGCTCCTGATGGGGTCTGGGTAAGGACTCAGATTGAGAAGAAAGAAAAATGTAGCCCTAGCTTACGTTGTGACAGTCCAACTCAGACATGGACCCGGTTCCGTTGGAGCAACAGACATGGAGCATATGGACGATTCTGGCTTATTGGAGTTCAGACCTGATGAATCTGTCGACATTGCAAACAGCAGGAAGTATTCTGGCAGTCGGATTGAGCTGGAGAGAGTAAGTCGCAGTCAGGCGTGACGACATATTGAGGGGAGTGCTTACTCGGTATAGAGCTATCCCTGCCATGGCGGTCGGAACCTTTGCCATTGCCATAGCCATGGTTCTGAACGGTGCTATTGGAAGTAGACTTCATGTCCCATTTTCAGTAATAGCCACGGGGAGCTTTGGGTTCTACTTTCGCTACTTCGCCATCGTCAGTCGCGCTATTCTGGCCATGTTCTGGTTCGGCGTTCAGTGTGCCAATGGCTCTTATTGTCTCACAATCATGTTGAGCGCCATGGCACCTTCCTATGCGAGGATCCCAAATACACTGCCAGAGTCCGCCGGTATTACATCGATGGGAATGTGCTCGTAAGCGTTGACGAGTTTGCCGCCGGCCGTTGACTAAAAGCTGACTTCCATTCAAGTTTCTTCCTCTTTTGGGTTCTCCAGCTCCCTCTCCTACTCATTCATCCGACGAAGCTCCGGCCCTTGTTCTACGTCAAGCTTATCGCAGCCCCTGCCGTTGTTCTTGGTACGATGGGATGGGCAGTTAAGAAAGCAGGTGGCGGCGGAGATATCTTCAAGTTGGAGCCAGAAGTGCCTTCGGGTACGCCTCAATACGCTTGGTTGTGGCTGTCCTGCATGTCAAGCGTGACAGGGCAGTGGGCCACCATGGGCGTCAACATCCCCGACTTTTTGCGTTATTCCAAGAGCCCCAATGGCCAGCTCGTGCAACTACCGTTTGTCCCTCTCGTGTTTACACTCTGCGGGACTCTCGGTATCATCACGACATCAGCAACAAAGGTGTTTGTGGGCGAGTACCTCTGGAATCCCCTTGACATTGTCAGTCTCTGGCTTGCAAATGGATCCGGAGGCCGAGCTGCTGCCTTCTTTGCGGCGTTGGCATGGTTCATTGCCACTGTCGGAACGAACATCACAGCGAACTCCATCAGTGCTGCGAACGATCTGACAGTCATGTTCCCCCGCTACTTGAACATCAAGAGGGGTTGCATGGTCGCAGCGGTGATTGGCGGCTGGGTTCTGGTCCCGTGGAAGATCCTCAGCTCGGCGCAGACATTCCTGAACTTCATGGGCGCCTATGCTGTCTTCCTTGCGCCCATCAGCGGCATCATGGCGGCAGACTTTTGGCTCGTCAAGAAGCAGCGATACGACCTGCCTGGTGAGTACATTCGGATTCGAGGCATTACTGACAACGAGACTGACACGTTTGATGCGCAGGGCTGTACGATCCCCACGGCCGCTACCGTTTCGATGCGGGCGTTAATTGGAGAGCGCTTGTTGCCTTTATCGTTCCTGTAGCGCCTTCGTTGCCGGGCATGGCACTGGCTATCAGCGGCTACCCGGCAGTCAAGATCTCAGACGGTGCGCAGCATCTGTACAGTTTCGACTGGCTTTTTGGATTCGTTGTGTCAATCTTTTTATATACGACACTCAGCTGGCTTGTGCCGGCGAGGGAGTCTCTCATATCGCAGACGATTTGGGTGCGGGAGGGCATGGATATCGAGGGCACTCAGGGCAGTGATGTCGAGACTCCGAAAGACAAGACTCCCGAAAAGGTTCAAGCCGCAGCTCGGGATGGCCAGCAAACTCCAGATTCCAAGGTGCTCTGAGCAGGAAATCGACTTGAAGCCTTGTTGGAAGCTTCTGCAATGTCATATAGCGGACAAATACCCCTTCTGTCCAGAAGCTGTACTTTACAGCAGCCAGCTGCAGCTTAGTATGAAGAACAACGCCGTCGACATCGACTGGTCGCCGAAGATTCCGTCAATGCAACCAAGGCAATTAAAATGCACTTCAATTAGAGTTGCGGGGAGAGTATTATATGGACCTAGCGCCGCAGTGGTTGGACGTGGCCACAGACAGCTTCGGTTGCTATCGCCGACTCAGTTGTTCGCCGACTCACGAGGGCCCGGGATTGAGGGTTGAGACGTGTCGGGACGGGCTGCGACGGTCTTCTTCGGCGACCACGTGGGTGATTTTGCGGCAACCATCGGCGTCTTGGACCATTTGCTACAGAAGCCGAGTCTTGTAATGATGCACGGGCAGCTCAGATGCGAGTCTTTGGTCGGTTTAAGAGTGGGAAAGAGCCAATGTCAGAACCCCGAATTCATCGCTTTCCATGTTCCCGCTGGAGAGACAAGAGACCACACCCGGGCACACACACTCTGAAGGAGACTCCACGTCCGGCACAGTGTACCGGTGCTAGGTACCTTACGTACTCACTCAACACGTGCACGGCCCCACTGGACGCCGACTGCACAACTCAACGCACAGTCCATCTGCACAATCCATCCCCATTATGCAGACGACCTGATTTATGAACAGCTCGCCTCCCCCCCACCCTCAGACTTTTCCCTCACCCTCCAAGAGCAATCACGCCATCGCCCTTGTCAGTCACCTCATCGTCCAAGCTCCACACCAGAGCCGCGCCCTCGACGTCGTCGACCCAAAAGAAGCCCATCTCGGCCACTCACAACGCCATCTCTCCCAATGCAAGCGCCGCGGCGTCTGTTTAGCGAGCTTTTACAGCTCTCGACAAAGCGGCCCGTCCCTTTTCGACCGCTACACGCCCCGGCCACCTCTCTGGCTGGTCCTCTTGCCGCTCCTCGTCCTCAGGGTTCCCTCCACCCTCGACTCTTGCACGCCTCTCCTTGCTCTAGACACACCCAGCCGACATCCGTCTCCTCCTCGACGCCTCTCACAGGTGGTACCGCTGCTCAGGCACAAGAGAGGCAGCGGCCTCAGCATAACAGTGGCCCGGGTGGCCCAGGTGGCCCAGGGAACCGTCCCCCACGCCTCATCAGGGTTAGGACTCTGCTCGCTAGCGGTGGGCTGCTGTCCTTCTTCATTGGCCTCTCGGAACCCTTCCATGTCCCCCACGAAGATGATGTCGATACTTCCGGCCCGGCAGACTCGACCGATGACCGCGATCCGTCCCTCCCTCGCTTCCGGCTGAACGAGGTCCGGAAGCACGACGCAAAGTCCGGCAGCCCGTGGGTTACACAAGGCGATAAGGTCTATGATATTACCGAATGGGTCGGAGCCCATCCCGGTGGCGAGGTCATCCTCCGTGCCGCCGGCGGCAGCATTGATCCCTACTGGGACATTTTCACTATTCACAAGTCGCCCCACGTCTACGAGATCCTCAACCAGTACCTGATTGGCTTTATCGATAATGCCGACCTGATTGACGGCAAGCCTGCCGCACAATCGATTGAGGACCCTTTCCAACACGATCCCAGCCGTGACCCAAGACTCATCACACTTACTCCCAAGCCTCGCAATGCCGAAACGCCTTTGGAGGGCCTGGCTGACAGCTATCTCACCCCCAATGAGCTCTTCTACGTGCGTAACCACATGTGGGTGCCCGAGGTCGACGACACCTCGGATTACACCCTTAAGATCGAGCTGCTCGACGGAACCATCAAGGAGTACACCCTCGATGATCTCAAGACCAAGTTTAAGCCTTCAACCATCGTGGCGGTTCTTCAGTGCTCGGGCAACCGCCGAAGTGACATGACGCGCAACGCCAAAAAGACAAACGGTCTTCAATGGAATGTCGGTGCCATCTCTTGCGCTGAATGGCAGGGTGTGAAGCTCTCCGATGTTCTCGCCGACGCTGGCGTCCCCATTCTGGAAACAATGGCTGGCGATACGGAAGCCAAGCACGTCCAATTCATGGCTCTCGAGGCCTACGGCGCGTCAATCCCCATTGAGTCTGCTCTGGACCCCCGTGGCGATGTTCTTCTTGCCTATTCGATGAATGGAAAGCCGTTGCCAAGGGACCATGGCTACCCCCTCCGTGCACTCGTGCCTGGCCATGTCGCAGCTCGCTCTGTCAAATGGTTGAGCCATATCACGGTGTCAGATGAGGAGAGCCACAGCCAGTGGCAGCGCAAGGATTATAAATGCTTCGGACCCAACGAGACGAAGCCGGACTGGGACAGCGCAGCCCCCATCCAGGAAATGCCCATCACCAGCGCCATAACAACCGTTAGACTGGGTGACTGGAAGAGTGGCACCAATGACGCCGAGACCACTGGCCGAGAGGCTTCGCTGAAGGGATACGCCTACTCTGGCGGCGGGCGCAGAATCGTCCGCGTCGACGTGAGCCTTGATAACGGCAAGACATGGGACCAGGCGGAGCTCCTTGACGAGCCTGAGACTGCGCCCAAAGCCGGCCACAAGTCTTGGGCGTGGAAGCGCTGGAGATACGATGGCGTTGTTCCTCTGGGCGAACTGGGCGAAAACGGCAAGAAGTGCACAACGATGCTGGTCAAGGCTACAGATGAGTCGTACAACTGTCAGCCAGAGAGTTATGCGGCCATTTATAACCAGCGCGGCAACTTGGCCAACGCCTGGCATCGTCTCAGAATTTGCTCAGACTGTGCCAAGGGAGCTTTGATTACTACGAGATGAGACTTTGATTATGCAAGAGGAGGAAGAACGACAAAGAGAAGAGACGTTGTTGTATATGAGCCGGCACCTTTTGTTTGTACCAGGGTTTTGGCGTATTTCGGAGTACCAACAGCGAGGCATGTTGCTGTTATTCGTTTCCTCCATGTGGTATTTGCTGCCATTAACGATTGCAGTGGTTTCTTCTTCTCTTATTCATCATCAGAACAGCCAGTTGTAGATTACAAGCACGCAAGATCGAACTCGCATACCTTAATTGACGTAACGTTCAACAAAAAGTTCGATTCGCAAATGGAGCATTAATTCAATTGCTAAAGTTGTACAGCATGGCAAGCGCTCTTGCCTTGAGATGCCCTTCGCATCGTGCCCAAAACAGGCCTCTGCCGTCGTCTATTCTCTAGAAACCCTTCCCGACTTAAGAGTACATTGTATGCGCCGCTTAGCAGAATACTTAGTCCTCGTCCTCCTCCTCGTTGTCGGTGAAGTACTCGAACTCGCCTGGCACTGTCGCCTCCTCGTCGCCCTCACCGTCCTCATCAACGGCGGTAAGAACTCCTGCAGCCGCCGCCGCACCACTTCCTTCCGTCGCGCCAGCAAGGTCACCTCTCCTCTGGCGGCCCAGCAACTCGCTAAGCTCGTTGAGCGAGCGGAGATCACCGCCAGCGCCAGCCCTAAGGGCCTGGGAGATGATGTTCTGCTGCTGCCTAGGCGTCAGGCCCGCCGATGAGCCACCGGCGTTACTTTGGCCAGCAACGGGGGCCTTCTCCGTCGTCACCTTCTTGAGCTTCTCCTCCATCAGAGACTTCTCCTCGTCAGGTTGGGTATCCTGCAACAGCAAAGGTCCACCAGTTGGCTACGGATAGTTAGCGCCCTGTCTTCCTTGTGTTGGAGTTGGGATTACTGTACCTTCTTGACCGGCTTGTAACGGCCGGCAGGGAAGCTGATAAACTTGAGCTGACCGGGCAGCACGCGCGACATGTTCTCCAGGTCGTAGCCAACCTTCTCCTTCTCTGCCTTCTTCTTGGTGTCTGCCGGAGGAGCAGAGGCCTCCTTGTCAGTTACATCGGCCTCCTTCTTGTCCTTGGCCTCTTCCTTCTTCTCATCCACCTCCATCTTGTCGGAAACGGTAGGCTTAGCAGACGAGTCAATGTCCATGCTTTCCCGGCGCTGGGCACGCTCCTTCTTCTGGGCTCTTCGCTTGGCTTGCGCGGTGGTGGAGAGGACAGCGGTGGCTACCATCGTGGGACCCTCCTCGGTCTTGACCTCCTGCTCAGGGGGATAGTCAAACAAGCTGGGGCGAGTAGCGCAGTGGAACTTGAAGCTTGGGATCTCGAGCTCGTGGTCCAGGCCGATGATAGAGGTGGGAGAGAATGCCAAAGAGAGGAAGTGAGTGAAGGGAAACCAGTACCAGTACTGGGTGAAGACCGCCATGCCCACGATGCCGGCCATGTTGAGGTTACCGGTCTGAGTCTGAAGGCCGATAGTGCAGTTGCGGCCACCAGCATCAATGATGCCCAGGGCGAGCGAGGCACCAAACTTGGTCATGGCGTCTTCATGACGGTCACCGACAACCTTCTTCAGAGTCTTGCGAATGGAGGCGACCTTGGGGTTCATCACCTCGTTCTGCTGGATCATGATCATGGCAAGCGAGATGAGAGCACCCTGGCGAACGAAGTCGGTAGGATCCTTCATCATCGGCTCAAGCAGATCAATGGCCTCGTCGAGACCAGTGCCCGCGCAGGAGATACCCAGAGCCATGGCAGATCCGTAACGGACGTGGGGGTTGTACGACTCAGAGAGGAGCTCGACCATGCGGGGCACGCTGCCGGGCTTGCGGAACAGGATGAATCCCAAGCTCATGACAGCAACACGGCGGACGTCGTCGTTGACGTCGCTGACAGCGATGTGCAGCAGCTTGCGAATGGCCTTGTTGCTGCCGGTACCGCAGTACGCGAGGGCAACTGTCATGATACCTCCGTATCTGAGGGTCGGGTCGGGGTCGTTGAGCAGACCTTCAATCATGGCGTCGGCGCCCTCTTGGCGGCCGTACATGATGAGAGCCATGCCAATGGCAAGGCCACGAACAATCTTCTCGTGAGTCGTCTCATGGGCATACGTGATCATGTCCTCCAGAGCACGCACGTTGCCTGTGCCCAGCATGATGAGACCCATGGCAAGACCAACGGCCTCACCGTTCAACGCAGAGTCCGTGAAGAGGACAGTTCGCAGGTTATCGAAGATCTCCTCAGAGCCGGTGGCCATGCCAGCAATGCCCAAACCAAGGGCACCACCGTGTTGAATGACTTCCTCCTCCGCAGATGTGAATTGCGTCTTGAGGTACTCTAGGGCATCGGCGCCGTGGTTGGCGTGAATCAAACCATAGGCGTACAGCGCACCACCCTGGCTAAAGATGGAGCCGCTGCTCAAGCCGCTTTGGCGAGGCAGATACGGCTCCAGAAGCTTCCTAGACTGGGTGAGGTTGCCGCGGTGGATGACTCCGAGAGCAGCGGTGGCTGTGAACTTAGACCAGTTAACTGCCTTACCGAGCCACTCGAGATTATCGCGGAAGAACTTGTCGTTCGTGGTACCCTGGTTCATGAAGGCGTTGCAGAAGGTGACCGCAGTGTGGAAAATAGAGTTTCTGCCCTCCAAGCTGTCGCGGACCTTGTTCAGGATGCTCAAGTCGGTTCGGTTATTCCTGTAGAGGAACTCGAGGTTCAGCTGGATGGTCTTGCTGCCGTCGAGAATAGAACGAATGTTCTTGTAGACCTTAGCAAGGTCGTCCGAGACCTCCTCCTCAGATGACTGCTGGTTTTCGAGAAGAGGCTCCTCCTCGGTAGCATCACTGGCAGGTGGCTTGGCAGGCTCTCCAGAGGGCAGAGAGTTGATGATCTTGCCCAAGAATTCCTGAGTGCCGTTGTCGTACAGGTCAAAGGCGATCTGGTAAGCATTGGCAATCGAGTTGGGGCCACCATCTGTAACGAGCTGCCTGAGCATGCGCGAAGCCTCTTCGTCTGAGCTGAGGTAAACGACGCACTTGGCGATAGCGAAGTAGTCGGGGTTGGGAATTTCGTTGAGAAGATCGAGGATAAGACGCAGGATCTCGGTGCGGAAGCTACGCTCCTGAACAATGTCCATGCAGATGCTCAGGGCGTACTCCATCAGCTCTTCTGCGGGACCTTGGCCATCCGTGGACTTGCCCTTGGACTTCTTCTCGTCCTCGCTTGCCCGCTTAATGACGCGGCGAAGGACCTCCAGGTTCTTGGCCTCAACAGCAATGCCGACGACCTGGCGGTATCGGCCATCCTTGAGGCAGGCCTCAAAGAGACGCTCGATGATGCGCTGAAGAGCGAGCTGTGTAGCCTGGTCGTTGATGGGGGCGATGGAACCGGAACGACCCTCCTTGACGGGCTGGAATGTGGGATCGAGGATGGTGTTATCGGTCGAAACTCTGGAAAGGAGCGACTTGGAGGGGAGAGTCGTCTGAGAGAAGGGCGTCGTGGGAGAGATGAGGGCGGAGCCGTCAGCGGCGCCGCTCGCAAAGGTTGTCGCAAGAGCGGGGAGGGAGTTGTCGTTCTTGGGCGACTTAGGGGCGGTGTGCTGCGCGGAAGAAGCGGCGATGTACTGATCAATACACTTGGAGATGATGGTCTCCTCGAACTCGCCGGGAGCATCGAGCTTGAAGAGGTCGCCGGCAGCCAGGGCGAAAGTCATGCTCTCATTGTAAGCCTGGAGATGGTAGTAAACCTTGGCGAGAACAAGAGCGGCGAGCTGCCGTTGAGGGAAGGTGTCGTCTTCGTAGAGAGCCTCGCTGGAGGGATGATTAGCATTTTGGTGAAGAGCAGCCCCACGGGGAAACAATGGAAGGCGGGCTTACATCTGGCTCAGAGCACCGGCAACCTCAGTCCAGACGGTGTCGATATCATCGTTGAGAGTCTGGAGGGCGAAGACCTTGAGGTCGTGCTCCTCGTCGGCCAGGAAGCCCAGCACTCCGGTAGCTGAGACCAGGCCAGGCATTTTGGATGTTGGCCTCGGGAACGGAGCTCGAGCTAAGCTGTGGCGGGAAGATGTGCGACCGATAGGGTTTATCGTAGACGTTCGGTCGGGTCTTCAATACGCAGTCAGTCGGACTGAATTGAGTAGGTTGGATGATTGTTGGAGTGGTGGTGATGGCAGCTCCGGGGAGACGGTTTGGTGATGGAAAGAAGGACGCCGAAAGCAATGCGCGAATGCAGCCAGCCAGCATCCACGTCAGGCAGGTCTGCCTGCCTCGCCTTGCCCCAGAGCCGTCTCTCTGACCCTTGCAGCACCAGTCGGCAGCGCCAATAGCAGCAAACAGCAACAAGCACGGACCAGTTTTGGATGAGTCAGCATTCCCAAAGCTGCGAAACCTGCACCCGGACTTCTCGACTGGCTCTGATGAGGTAAGCAGCTGCAGTCAGATCTCTTTGAGCCCCGAAAGTCGGTTATCTACGATATCAGCTAGTATATGCACTTAAAGTGCTGAGCATCACGCTTACAACATTCAGTGGTTATATTGTAATGAAGGACGTGTACCTACCCTGGAGCTCTGCAAGAGACCAGGCACACAGCGGTGCAGCGAGTGACCTCACTTGCTGCGGCACACCCCGCCAATGTGACCGGGACTCAAGCTCCCCGCTTCCACGGACCGAGGAACACCCAGTCCAGCTCACCTGAGTTCCACGCATTTAGCCTTGACAACAGTGATCACGAATTCAGAGTGCTTCTTTGCGTTTCTGGTCATACACCTCCAGCCAACACCTGACTGCGCTTTCTGCTACGAGAGTTTTACAGTATGAGCTCAGAACAGAATCCGAGTCTCCTGCTCCTGCCAGTCCCACCCCGGCCGCCATCCCGCGCATCACTCAATGCCGCCTACCGGCCCTCATTACAAGCCGTTTTCTCCAAGATCAAGCATCCGGCCCGGTCAGCTACGCTTATTGTGGCTGTGGTATGTCCCGTCTTGCGCGGTGCATCACCGAAAACGAAATCGTTGTCATGGGCCGCCGCACAGTCTCTGGTGGCCGGTATCTACAGCCTCATTGCTGTCGTTTGTGCCGAGCAGTCCATTGCCACGGACGTTAATGGAGGACCGGGCTCTATCGATGCGCGAGTTGTTTTGGTCGACCATGACGCCAGTAGGCGGCTTGCATCAGAACTTGTGGCCGCCATCGAGCCCAACAACACGACTGTCGTCGACCTTCCAACCTTCGCATCTGCTTACCACCCCTGGAGCTACATATTTCATGTGAATAGCGAGCACGGATACCGTACGCTGTCATCATATCTCAAATTTGCCGAAGGGAGACAGACCATCCTCCAATCTCAACTAGTTGTTGTTGAGGCTGGTCTTAGCATGAACGTCGAAGGCGAGGGAGCCGGCAGCACGGAAGCATCTCCTCTGTACCCAGTGGTCTGCCTAGGCGGCACATTTGACCATCTCCATCCAGGTCACAAGCTGATGCTCATGGCTGCAGTTCTCCTGCTCCGGGTTCCCGACAAAGACTCGGCATCCAGTTGCAAGCTTGTGCTGGGCATCACGGGCGATGAAATGCTCAAGAACAAGAAATACGGCGAGCTGGTGCAGACGTGGGATGACCGTGCCAGGTATACTCTTGACTTCCTGGCCTCTCTTCTCGAGCTGGACAAGAGCGGTTGGAAAAAGAGGTCTGGTCCGGTACCGACAGTGGAAACTGCGCCTGGCCATCTCGAGGCGAAGTTCCGCAACGGCACTATTGTCGTCGAATGCGTTGAATTTCAGGATGTCTATGGCCCCACGATCTCCATGGCGGAGATTGAAGCACTCGTGGTCTCTGGAGAGACGCGCTCGGGCGGCAAGGCAGTCAACGACAAGCGGGTTAGTCTCGGGATGAAGCCATTGGAAACATACGAAGTCGACGTGCTCGACGCGCGGGATCTTGGCGACGAGACAGCCAAAACGGACGACTTTACCAATAAGATCAGCAGTACGGCTATTCGACAACAGAAGGCAGAGGCAGCGGCAGCGGCAGCAAAGTCAAGCTTGTGAGGAACAGAGAACAACTCTGCAAGCTTAATGAAAGTCACGATAAATGATGCATAACACCAGAGGTTTTGAAAACGCGTGAAAGGAGAGGGCAGTACGTACGAAGGACCGCTCAGTGTCGACGCGCCAGGCGTCAGATTGATGAGGCTGACGCGCAGAAGTGCAATGGACGTGCAGCTTTCGATATGAACATTGGCACTCAAGGCATGCCGCATCCATCCTATCAGGATCAGCGTCGTATCTGGGCCAAGGTAAGATAGGGTGAGGGTGCATTGGGGTGGACGGCAGTTGAGATGCAAGGATATGGTGCTCGTGAGGTCCGAGGAGGCTGGGCGATGGTTGACGTTGGTTGTACTTTGTACGAGCATCAGTAAGGTGATAGGAGGAAGCCATTCGCATCGCGATTCAATATCCGTGTATTCGTGGTCGTCCGTATGAACAGGTAGTCATTCGCAGTGAAGACGGAAGGCCAATGCTACCCCTGAGGATGAGGCGGTCCAGAAGGGAAACATGTTCGCCAACCCTGGCTGGAGCTGGCTGTCAGAAGTCAGAAAATCCTGGGTGACTGACGACGCGATTTGAGTGTGACACTGGAAGGGGGCAGAAAAGTGGAAGACACGATCAGACCCTCAGTTCCAGTTGCAGTTCCAGCATGAGTGAGTGTCTGGCGCCATCGACGCGACCCACACACGTCCAGCACAGCCCCGATTAGTACATGTAAGTATCTTTGGGCGGCAGATTGTGAGTGGCAATACATGCTCAGTACAGACAGGCGCCCTTCACCCGTCGAGAGCGCGTGCCTCAATCTCACAACCCTCCACTCTGCCAACACCACAACGTGGAGCTGGCCGAAGGAGAGACAGGGGAGAGAGAAAATAAAAAAATGAAAATCCCCGACAGGCCGGGCTCGAGCAACGCACCGTGGCACAGGACATGGACGTGTTCATGAAGCTGCGAAACGAGACAAGGCTGTGCAGCCCACTGGAAGAGCTCTGTGCCAGCCTCCAAGATACTTGCCTACCTTACCTAGAAGAAGCTTGATGAAGCTCTATGTAAACCTAGCCCCTAAAGCAGATAGCATCTGCCTAAACATCATGAAAAGCTAAATCACCCAGCCGTCATCTGCAACGAGCAACACCTTGTGCTCTCTGCGTCCTCAAAGGGACCTGGAGCTTCAAAGTTCCTAGCTACTAGGTAAGGTCTTACCTTACTTAAGGTACTTTGCCAAGGTACCTACTTGCCAGGGCGCTCCCAAAGTGCCTTTAGTGTGCCCGGTCTTGAAAAGTAAGATACTTACCTACCTTAGGTAAGGTAGGCAGGGCAGCCTTATTAGCACCTCACTCACTGAGCTCGCTGTGACTACCTACGGATACCTACGGGCAGTGAGTGACCTAAGGTAGAGAAAGAGAGCACGGTGGGCGCCGACGTGACCTGAGTGAGATTGAGGACTTTCATGACTGAGAAGCCGCGAAAGACGGAAACCCTGCTGCGATCGGCGCGCGACCAATCCATTTCCATCCTTTCTTTTTGTCTCCAAATTTCCCACGCAGCTGCAACAGAGGACAAGATGTTTTCTTCCTAGCGCCCGAGATATCTCGACCTGCGACCTTACCTTACCTTACCTTACCTGCCTTACCCAACCAACCAACCCCAAGGTACCTACCTACCTCACCACCAACCACCAACCACCAACCACCAACCACCATTCGCCCCAACCCAACCCGACGCCGACAGGGACCTCACGAGAGAAATCTCCCTGCTGCCATCACCACCGACGCCTATTGCTCTTCGCCCTCCACCTCACTCCCCGCTCCGAAAGCCCACGCGCCGACCGCATCGCATCATCGCACGCTTCTCTCGCGCTGCTCAACTCGCCAGCCCCGAACGGATGCCGCATTGAGGACGTACACCACGTAGAGAAGGAGAGAGAGAGAAAGAAAGAGAGGGGAGATCGCGCACCAGAGAGATTACGACGCCCAGCTCGCGACGACTCCAATCCGCAACTCGCAATCCGCATCCGCATCCACACCCGCATCTCCATCTCATCCCGTTCCGTCCACCCAACGAACAAACGAAACAAACGAGCTCGATCCCGACCCCTCCCTCTCCGACCCTGTGAACCGTGTCGTTTCGTCCCTCGCCGTTTTCTTTAGCTTGTCGCCCGCCGCCCTCCATTTCGCATCGCCCCTCGAACTCTTTGCTCCAATCCGACTTGCCCTCGCCTCGCCGCGCATCCGATTCTGCTTGGTCCTGGCTTCTGTGCTGTCCAATCCGATCCGATCCAATCTAGTCCCATCTGGTCGATCCCGTCTCGACCCCGAGCCCCAACAGCGACGCCGACGCCGACATCAACGCTTGCGACCCCGACCGTAATCATCTTTGCCGACTGATCATGCCGACGTGATGCTCAACTGCTGCCGATCCAACTTGTACCAATAAAATCGCGTCGACTGTTCAAACCTGCGTCGCGACCATCGCTCACGACCGATAACCCATCGCATATCTCGCACGCCGCGCATATGAGCTGTTGGTATTGAAAGGGCGAAGCTGAAACTTTGCGCATCCCAGCCGAAGCAGGCCGGAGCGTTGGACTGGACAAAACACCACAACACCAAGGGATACTGGCCCCATTTGCCCGTCTACGCCTTTCACTATGGATCTCAGGGCCTTGATGAATACGGCTGATGACGCCGACCGCTCGAGAGCGGCTCCTGCTGCTGCTCCCCCTCCTGCTCCTCAGCAGCTTGCGCCAAAGCAGCAGCAGTATCCTCAGCAGCATCCGCAACATCCTCAACACCCTCAGCAGCATCCGCAGCAACACCCTCAACAACACCCGCAGCAGCACCCTCAGCAGCACCCTCAGCAACACCCGCAGCAGCAACCGCAGCAGCAACCGCAGCAGCATCCTCAGCACCCACAGCATCATCCCCAGCAGCAGACTCCGACGACACCTTCCCAGGCAGCCACCGCGTATGCATTTAGGGAGTCTGCATACAGCCATGCCTTGCACTCTTCTCCAGGCAAGCCTCCCGCGCCTCAGGAGTATGCTGTCCATCCGCAGGCCTCGAACCCGCCTTATCCTCCTCAGTCGCCTTATCAGACTCCGGGCCCCTATCCCGGCCGCCCGGCGCCGCCACCGCTGCAGGCAGGTACTCCCGGCCCGTACACCGATATGCGGTCTCCTCAGAGCGCCTCCATGCCCGCCCCGTCCCCGTATCGTCACACTCCGACGTCTTCGGTGAGCGGGCCTGCTGGTGGCTATCCCTTTCCTCCGACCGGGCCGCCTCAAGAGGTTGCCAGCCCTGTACAACGTCACCAATACCCGCCATCCAACGCGTATCCGCCGAGAGACAGCTATTCCCATCCTGCTGGTGCAACACCGTCTTCTTTTCCACCCCATCCTCAGCAGCTTCAGCTTCAGCAGCAGCAACAACAACAACTTGCACAGCAACAGCCGCATCCGCAACAGCAGCAGCCGCAGCCGCAGCAGCACATGCCGCAGACGCCGCCCATCGGCACACCCGGTGGCGCCAACCCGTATATTCACCAACGCTCACAATCAACACATTCCACCCCAACTCCTACCTCTGCACACAGCCAGCAGCACCCGCAACTTCACGGTCAGGCGTATCCTCACGGCAGTCCTGTTGCGACGGCGCACCCGCCGCCCGAGTACAACCGCCAGCACTCGCAACCTCCTACCCCACTGGGCCCGCCCCAGACCGGGCCTCGACAATCTTCCTCTGCACCGAGCTTTGCGCAACCACAAAGTCCCTATCAACAAAGACTGTCCGCCTCGCACCTATCCCAAGCCACACCACCACCTCCACCACCTCGCATGCCCAATTCCCACGGCGCCCAAGAACGAAGGTCATTGTCGCATAGCGTGCACAGCGAACGCGACAGAAGCGTTAGCGTTAGCCCCAAGACCAGGGTTCCGAGTTTGCCGAGCAGCGTTGGTGGCCACACCGAACCCGAAGCGCGACCACAACCGAGTGTCGTCAACATGGTGGAACCCGAACGCGAACGCGCCGCGACGCCTGCGAAAAGAAAGCTCGCCGACCGAGATCTGAGCCCCCGAGAACTCGAGAGGAAAGAACCACGGCCACCACCTGCCGAGGTCAATGGAGGGCCAACAATTGCTCGCTCGCCCGTGGTTCAGCGGAAAAAGACAATACACACAGCAACTCCCGTTTGGGCGCAAACCTGGAATTCCCGAGAAAACAAGAGACTGAAGCAGGCAAATTTTGAGCTGCTCAAACGAGGGCCACCTCACATCAACGGAAAGCACGAGGCCAAACCCGCCAGCAACTCCAGTCGCCATACTTCGCCAGAGACTGCACGATCTGTTCCGCCACCGGCGGTGCAGGAGCCCAAGCCTCAACACCATCTAGGCGCATGGGAGGAGAGCATTCTCGGAACCCGCCCATACGAGGAATTGTCCAAGCAGGTTGCAGACTTTTTGTTTAAGAACATTTCGCTTCACCCCGACTCGGGCGACATCATCGGTCGTGGCGTACAGTTCGAGATTGAGGCCAAGATGGGTCTGCTCATTGACAGAGACACGAACGAGCGCGTTGAAAAATTCATTGGCTCTGAATGCATTCTCCACGACACCGGCCGTCTGGCCTTCAAAAGCAGCATGACTGCGGTAAGTTCCATTGCGCCAGCAAAAATGACTGAGACTAACTTTTCTCCCTTCAGGCCCAACACAAAGGACTGAACGATTTCCTCAATGCTCTTGTCGTCCAGACCGACCCGCGAAACCCCGATCCCAGCGCTCGCGGCCGGGTACAAATCCAGTACAAACATCGACGGGAGACGGACAAGTTCATCGAGCTACCTAATTCGATGCACTCCCGTCTGCCTACGTGCATTCGCGCCCTACTTCCGCCTAGAAGACCGATCAAGGCTCGCATTACATACGATATGAAGACGAAGGAAGTGCTGGCCAAGATTGTCAAGGCTCGTGTGGCTGACCTTCACCTGCACCTGCCCACGTGTCCTCTGGACTGCCGCATCAGCATCAACCTGGAAATGCCTTGGGATGGCCCGGCTGAGGAGTTGGAACGCCTAGCCGTCAGCCACGAGCAGAAGTTCCCCGATCGTAACAAGGATCGCCTCAGCTATAAGCAAAATCACTATCAGGTCGACCTGACGCAAGTGACACAGATGACGCCCGGTCCTGGGGTAAGTGGCTCAGAAAATAGTCGATGCCGCACGCGATGCTAACCTTGTCATAGAACACCCAAAAGACCGACAGGGAACACGAACTCGAAATCGAACTGTCCCCGGATATTGTCATTGATCAACAGCGCCGTGTTATGAAAAACGAGCCTCATTCATACCCGCAATTGGTGGAGGGTTTCATCGACAACGTGCGCGTTCTTGCTCGCCGAAGTCGTGAATTTGTGTAATATTTGTATGGAAGAATCTTTTACAAGACGTTTCTTGATTTCAAGCTGGATCGGGTGGTCTGATACCAAAAAAATGGCTACGTTTGGCGTCATGGATTCAGCGGTGCATTTGCAGCCTTAGTTAGTTCATATTCGGGCCAGCATTTCTCGAGATGATCCAGAGATGCTGCTCATCCATAATTATGGCGCGCGGGCCGAGTCAATATCATCGCATTGATTACCGCGATCTAAGAAAGTCTCTCTAATCGGTGTACATATGTGGCCGGGTCTGCTGGCGTTGACGAGTCCAGCATGTGAAATATGGCGTTTTGCGGAAGTGACGGCAGAGATATCAGATGCTGATGGGTATATCTGGGCCTCTAGAACCTGAACACCTGCAATCATGGACACAGAAAGTAGAGCGTAGCTGGCGCAGGTCAGAACAAGACGAAACTGAGTCACGCAATCTGTGCCGCAATCTCAGGAGTGCAATTTATTGGAACCAAATCCCGCAAGGACCAAGTATTGCAGTGTTCCAGATCCAATTCATTAACATAAGGGTATTCATCTGTATAACACAATCCAGACAATTCCAACACTGTTTCTTCAGCCGCCGCAACCGTCTAGCTCGTAGCAGTGACAGGCTTAGCCACATTATGCCAGCTTCTCTTCTCCCTTGCCCGCAGCGCTGTGTCCAACAGGCTGGATGTCCTCAGAATCAGCTCCCCGCGCGCTGTCACCTCCATTGACATCCTTGGTAGCCACAGCGCTGCCGGCAGGCGGCACATCCCGGCCCTCGGTGTCCTCGATCTCCTCCTCAAGGACAAAGTTGAGGAACATGCAGACAAAGGCGGTGATGGCGAAGCCGGTCTCCATGATGAGCACGATGGCATCGAGGAAGCCGCGCAGGCCGCGGTTGTCGCCGGCGTAGGTGAAGACGTTGTCAAAGTAGGTCGGGACGAGGGTGGCGCCGTAGCCGAGGGTCAGGCCGGCGGTCAGGATGAAGCGGTTGCGGCGGTTGAAGGGGACACCCTTTGTGATGATTGCCATTCCGGAGACGGCCACGGCGGTGAAGAGGAAGGTCGTCATGCCGCCCAGGACGGAGGAGGGGATGGCGACGAGAGAGGCGGCGAATTTGGCGAAGATACCCATGATGATGAGCGTTATACAACAGCAATATCCTGCGCTCCGGTTGGCGCAGCGGGTAAGGGCGATAACACCGTTGTTTTGGGCGAACTGGCTCATTTGGTAAGTTATTTACCTTTGATTTAAGGGAGAGGTGGAGGAGGGGGGGGAAGCTCACGGTGGTCATAGGGGTGATGGTCATCAAACCAGCGAAGACTCCGTTGATGCCGTCGGCCAAAACACCACCCTGGATCCGGGACTCGAAGAGACGGCCCTCGACTTCTAGTCTCGAGACATCGCAAGTGGCTGTGATATCTCCGATGGCTTCACAGGCGCAAATGATGTAAACCGCAAGGAGAGGTCTGGAAGATGGTAAGCTAGGGACTCCAGGGGCCAAATGAGAAGATGGGCGCTCACAGTATTAGAGGCCCATACAGGCTTAGCTTGAAGGTGTGAACCCAGATGAAGGAGGCGGCAGGGGCGCTGTCGATGCCAGATCGGTCAAAGTATCCTGTCGCGGCTGCAATAATGCATCCTGGTAGGGGTTTAGTAACGGCTTGGGCCATGGTTTGGGTACAGCAACTCACCAACAAGGAGACCAATGATGACCGAAGTGGACTTCATGATAGGGGCACCGAATCTCTCGCAGAGAATAATCGTGAGGAACACAGAGAAGCCCAACCCGAGGTACTCGGCGGAGCCCCAGGGCAGAGCATGGGGCGCCGAGATGTTGGGGCACTTTGCGAAGAACGCAGACGCAGTCGACGGACTGGCGCAAGGCCCTGAGCCGCCCATCCAGTTCTGGAAACCGCTCTCGACGAGGTGAATACCGATGAGCATGACTAGACAGACTCAGGACTGGATCTCAACGGCTTTTGGAGTCTTAGACCTACCAGTGGGGCCAGTGACTATGGGAGGGAAGATGCGAAGCATCACCTTGGACGGCATGAAGGAAATCAAGATTTCGATGAGAGCACAGAGGGCACTGGAACCGATAATGGCTTTACACACAAAGTCAGCGTTTGAGTGCACGCAGCACTCTGGCGGAAAGACTCACCTCCGTATCCATCGGGGCACGGAAGCTTGTTGCCATCAGCGTCGGTAGGGCAGAAGCCGTTGGCATACATCTGGGTAAGAGCACCCTGCGCAACAGGAATAATGGCAAACGAGATTCCCATGACGGAGAGAAGGCCGGTGCCGATATAGTAGCTGAATCGTGTAAGTGGACAGTACAGTCACTGAGTGGGAAACTCGGTCCTCTTACGGAGTCTTCAAAATGCGGAACCTGGTGATCTGGATTGCGGACAGGATTCCAGAGACGATCAAGGCAGTCGAAACTAGATATTGTTGCATCTCTCCCGACAGGTTGGCACCAGAAGCACCGCTGAGCAGAATGGGCGGCGTGATGATACCAGCCAACATGGCCAGGGCATGCTGAAAGCCCAGGAGAATGGCCAAGAGCGTGGGCATTTTGTCGTGCAGGCCGAAAAAGGGTGCGGACTGGCGCGACTTCCTCATGAAGGGCAGGTTCGGGCGGAAGAGGAACGCATAGTCGTAGTCGCCGATGAGGCCTTGCTTCGTGAAGAATCTGTTCTTGGCGCCGCGCAGACGATCTCCCACTGTGCGCTTTGGTGACGCCTCGGGGACGATTTGAGATGGACCTTGATCTTCATCCATCTTGCCGTCGTTTTTGGAGCCTGTCGCCGGAGGTCGATAAGCAGAACGAGGACGGGACGATCTTGAGGTGGTGTCAATGAACCAAAACCTCGAGATTGGCTTGGACTGCGGAAAAAAGGCTGGTGTGGGAAAAAACCCTCGACGATATCCACGAGCAATGACACAGAGCAAGATGTGGATCTCACTTTATATGTATATCAAAATCCGACTCAGTTGCTCTGAGTGAGTGGTACGGTACCGTCAGGCAGTCTGCAATCTGCATGGGGGCGATCCTTTTAGTTGATGGTTTCGAGCAATTAGCTTCAACCGCTATCAGTGGGATAAGCCGCGCGGGACGATATGAATGGCTGGCGATAGTAAAAGAATTGTGTACCCAGAAGGGCGGGCCCGTTTCTAGCATTAGCTGAGAGCAGCCCCCCGGAGACAAGACGCGGTCGGCAGCTCTCCCTTGTCGACCCCATCCGGATCCATGTGAGTGAGATGCGGAAGAGAGCGTGGGTTGTGAATGACTGAGCTCTTGGTTCTGCAGCTGGGGGTGGCGAGGAACAGAGCAGGAGTTCTGGGGATACATGATGTTCATGGTAATTCACGGGCGAGTTGATGGTAGATGAGATGGAACATCCAATGTACATGCTTGTTGCATGTGTTTGGGCCGTGTGTACTTGGGTTCTCATTGTCGCACAAAAGTCAGCTCCGTCATCAACCAACTACATCCCCCAAGACCCCCCCCCCCCCCCCCC